CAGTACAGTATACTACTGTACTGTATTCAGGTAGCAAGATAGTTTAATGACCGACCCATGATAAAGTAATTTTCAATGGAATCTTTGAATACTCGCAAGATTCTTTAAAACAATTAACAATTACTGTAATACTCAAAAATCATGATTTGCAAATACTAGTAACAACATACTGTAATGTGAAGTTTATATAGGTTGACATTTAATACAGCAGAATGATGATGACATTTACTACTGTACATACATGGATAATATTTAATATTATGTTGGAAGTACCTCATACCGTAGTCCCTAGTCTACTCATCAGCTGACCTAACTACAGTACTGACCTCACTACTGTACTGTAGGCCTACAGTACTGTATTAAAAAAAAAATCAATCTACAGGTAACAGTAATAAATTGTTTGAAATTTAATAAATAATAACACAAGAAATATTTATGCCAAAGATTGATTAATTAAATAAAAATAATAATAAATGAATAATATTAAATTTATAGGAATTATAAATCAAATCATTTTTAAATTTCAAATTATTAAGGAATGATGCACCAAAAATGTGAACTGATTGTGGTTTTTCTACAGTATAAGCGCTCAGATTTGTTAAGTTAAACACATACTGTACAGTAATTAACAGTATATTTCACAACTCATTGATTTTGGAATTTTTAAAATTACATGTCAAAATTGTGTGCTTTGCTACTATTCTGATCATAATATATGCATGTACATGCACATTATGTGTACTTAGCACACATGTATTTATACACACATACACACAATAACACACATCATCAAACAAATGGATATGGATGAAATCGTTCAGTTAAACGTTAAGTTTGCCTGTGGGAATTCCATATTGTATAGAATGTGGAAAATGTGTAAAAAAACAATTTGATCTGATTCATCAGTAATGAGGGGCGTTTAATGGGGTGGTGTTTAAAGATGATGATAATTTTATCAAAACAAAAACAATTAAGACAATGATCATTCTTGTGATGATATGATAATATACAGTATTGTTATGATGATGATGGTGGTGGTGATGATGTCAGAGAATGATGTTAATGATGTTGACGATGCATAAATGATGATTACAATTATGATGATAATAAAAATGATAACAAATTGATGTGATGATATTGGTGATGATGACAATGATTATGATAATGATGATCACCAGTATGTGGCAGTGGTGAATAAGAAATGAGTCATGACAATGATGAAGATGACATTACAATCATGGATGAGGGTGATGCTGCAATGTGATCAATGTTATTATGAAGGCAGCATAATTAAGACAATAAACAATGGATGATGATGGCACTAACATATGATACATACTCTAGGACAACAATGTCAATGGTGATAATTGTCTACCCCCAATTAAAGACCACTTTTGAGACCAGCGTTTTTATGGTCTTTAATTTTTCAAGATATAATTCAAAAGATATGAGGCATTCATTTAGGGTTGCAGAAAGGTGGTCTTAATTTTGGAGCTTGTCTTTTAGGCCCTATAAAAATATTAGTTTATCACCCTATCTGGGCAGGAAAAGTGATGAGGGAGGGAGGCTTTTTTTAAATTTTTTATTTTGCTAAAGCCAAATATCCCCCTTGGGTTGTTTGCTGGTGCATTGATATTCAAAGTAAAACATGATTTAGATAATGCAAACAATATCTAATCATTATTTAATCAAATAAAAGAAAAAAAAAAAAAAATGTTCCCAGTACCATAGAAGACATGCGCGCGGGGGTGATAAACTAATAATTTTTTTTATTGGGCCTTATTGGAAGGGTTTTTAATAAGCGGGAGACCTGTATCCACCTGGCTGGGTGGTGATGATGATGTTATTGATGATGCTGATGGCGATTGTATGCTAAAATGTCAATGTTTAAATTGTTTTATCATAGTTGTCACTCAGCTACAGCAGACAGTGCTGTACAATATTTGTTATTGCTCTTGGGCAAACAGTCATGCAATATAACATCACAGTACTGTATGAATAAATCTACATTAAACATATCAGTAAAATGAAAAGCAAAAGTACAAAAAAAAAAGTTGAGTGTTAAATCACAGATCCTATGGTTAAATTAACCAAAATATTTATACTTTTAATGTATTCAGGAGCCCCAAGTCTACCACTAGTCGCGGGAGTCTCCCAGAAATTGAGACAGCCTCCAGCACTCCCACAACTAGACAAGATCTCCCAGAAAATAACCCACAAATTCTTAAATCTGCATGTTTTTTTATAACCCGTTTATAATTTGTCCCACGAAAATCAGTGTCAATTGGTATCACCTTTCGCAGCAAAACAAAATTAACTTTGGACCCCGTGTGTAGTATTTTGTTTCTTTTTAAGGGGTTCCTTGACACCCATAAATTTGTGGCTTGTGAGAGGCCTTTGCATTAGTACTGAAGGTCATGGAACATCACACGGTCACATCAGCAAAAGCAGGACAAGTTAGCGCAATTTGACTATGGGTACCACTGCTCGTTTCTGAATACTGTACACTCTGTTTTTTTCCAACAGAAATTCCATCAGCAATGATTTAATTATTTCTCCCACTTTATTTCACTTGAACAATTAACAGTTTCTAATTAAGTGAACTCTTGTATCAAGTAACAAGACAAACAAATAAATGCATTGTTATTACCAAGTAATCCAAACATGACATTTAACAGACAGTCTGCAATTTGCTTAACATTTTAATTATTTTACGGCACACATAGCCAATGTATATTTACAGGGAACATTAGGAGGATCAGGTGTGTTACAAAATTGAGGGAAGAATTAGTATTAAGTACAATTAGAAAAACATGGATTGGAAGAGTGTCTACAAGATACTGTATGGCATGCCAGCCAAAAATACGATGTTATATAGGCCTATTTTTTTTTAATGATTTAATCTTTTGATTGTGTAGACTGCTAATGATGTACATGTACAACAATTCAAAGAGATAATCAGCTTTGTTAATCCCATCTTCATTTTCCTCAATACCGCTTCTCAAGAGAGTAGCATCCATGAACTGATTTACTATTTCGAAAATTGATTTTGGTATCAACTCATTTAATATTTTCTTATGTTCCTCTTTAAATAAACATAAAAACATTACTGCAAACCTTTGAACATAAGGATAGTCATTATTAATCCTACCATTTTTAAAATTCATTTTTTCCTTTTAAGTCCATTTTCTTTTCAGATAAACTGGAACATTTTCCAATTTCCGAGGATAAGCTTTTTCTATTTCCTCAGATCAACAGCTTGGAACATTGTGCATGAGATAGTAATTTCCCAAAGGTCTCCTATCTGTCTATGAACTATAAATGTTTCCGTGATTATAAAGGTAATGTTATTTCCTGTTATGAACATTATGGCTATAGAAACGCAGTACTGACACCGGAACAACAGTAGTCAGGTTATTTAATTGTAAGGCAAGTACATACTTATTTCACAAAATCAATCAGTGGTCCGAGTAATAAAAAAAAAAAGTGGGTATAAATGAAATGCTCCCACAAATCAATTTACTGTATGAGCAGACTTTGTAAAATTGGTGAGATGATGGACATTCAACTCTAAGCAGACTATAAAGGCTTACAGTACTGTACCATAATATTGTGCAGCAGATGAGGGCAATTTTTAATTCATTATTTTTAACCATATTATGACCTGTAGATTGGTGGGTAAGATGCTCGCTTTTCAATATATAAACTTACAAAAATAGCCTCACTTGTTAAGCCTAATGCCGAGATGTTTATAAATCGTACGGGTTCTGCCTCCCCGCTAGAATAAAAGTAAAAAGGTGAAGGTCAAATCCTGAAGCTCTGGGCTTACAGGCCAGAGTGCCAGTCTCTCTTTCCTTGGCGTATGTGCCAGACTGTGCTAGGCTGTGGGGGGGGGGGTTCACCACTCCTCCTGCACAGCAGTCTGTTTTACCTTCCTAGCAAATGCTGGTGGTACCCATTATACTCCTGAGTAGAGAGAGACAAACGCAGATAAAGTGTCTTGCCAGGGACACAAGCGACTTGCAGAGCGAGGGTTTTGAACCCCGACCTCAAGGTTGAGAGTCCGAGCCACAACCGTTGTGCCAACCTACTCTAGAAATAATAAATAAGTAGCAATGTATTTCTGAAGATATCCCTATTGATAAATTGATCTTGGATTGCAAGGGAGCATCAAGTATCAAAACATCTTCTACAGTATCATAGTTCTATACTATGAGACTACAACACAGATTCTACCAAATCTTTACAGAATATACATACCTTATCCCTCAAACATGTATTGACGGAGAGCTTTTTTGTGGGGGGGGGGAAATACTGTAGAATTCATTATCTTGAACAATTTTCTTTAATATTGACTTATGATATTGATTCATATAGTTGTTCACAGATTCTATTACCTACTTTAAGCAAGAATGTGGACAGTACCTACTCATAATAACACATTTAATATCCTACAGCAGATTGAACATACGCACATGAAGCACAGTATGGTATTTAGTTGTTTCAATGAGTGCAAAATTATCATTTCTGGGAAAAGAATTTTTACTATTATTGTTTAAATTATTATTTATTAATGTTTTTTTTTTAAATTATTATTATCATCATTGTCATTAATTACATTATCAAATTTCAATGTTTTAAAATATACCCTACCAGTATACACGTAAAGTACTGTACAACATGTATGGTAAAATTATCCTTTGTGTGAATGGCAAAAGAAAATATATTTTGAATTATTATTTATTAAACAATGGTATGGTGTAGTACAGCCTTAATTAAAAATATAACTCAGGGTCAAATGCATAGTAGGAAAGCACCCCTTGCAGTACAATAGAAAATGGATGGTATCTACAGTATTGGATTGGAATTTTCCAGATGGATTGAAGCAATTTGCTGGTTCATTCAGCATCTTTGGCCAAAGGAAACATTGTGCCCTAAAAATCTACTGGTTCTTTTAATGATTTAATGTCAAATTTTTAAAGTAATTTATCTTACTGTACCTTTGGTATACTGATTGTCATCTCAGTTTTGAAAATTTCAAATCTGTGATTCTCTTGATGTTTTTCGTAGTTTTGGTTCTGGCTTATCTAGATGTTCTTCAAAATTTATTGACTCTCCTGAAGTCAATTGTGCAATGTCATTTGATGATATAGATCCCCATTTGATTTTTGGTAAAAGGTCACGACCTTTCTCTAGTTCTTTAATGTTACCGTGGGAGGCAGAGCGTATGTTGCCATTGGTCAATCTGGGATAAACCTTTGCATGACCCTTAAGTTGGTGGCTATCATTAGTTTCATTAAATGCCTTTACTCTCTCCTCTAACAGTACTTGCCGTATAAGTTTCTTTAATAAATCCAACGCCGGTTCAGAGTTAATTTCCTCGTCCTCCTCCTTACGTTGCAGCTCATCCAATTTCTGAGCAGAGTATTTTGGTGTCTCTGGTACAGAATATGTTAATTCAAACTTGGAGTAATTTATATCATATTGGTTATCGTTTTCGCTATGAATCGCAATGACAGAACTGCAGAAACGATGGCCCCACTGTATTTCGGATGGTAAATAAGATGTTCTTGCTTGCGTTGTCAAACCTGTTTGCTCAACAATGCCTTCCAATATAACTACAATTTCAAAATCTGCACTATCCAAGTCTTTAGCAGATAACGTATAAAGCGGACTGTCCTCATCAATTGTGTGGGAAACAATTAAGGGCCAAACAAGGAATATCCGGTCCTCGCCGGTCTCATAATTCAAATCTAAATTGTACTGGTAAAGCGGAATGATTTCTTTCTCGGCGGTTACCCGTGGTTTAATCATATAGGCACGGAGATGAGCTTCAAATAAATGACTTTCTCGAATATCTCCGACACGAAACATAAAACATAACTTTTCATCACGTAGAGCGATTACTGCATTACGGCTAAATTTTAGTGTGGCTGCCCGCTTTTTGGGCCTCGCAATTTTGGCGAAAATGCAACCAATCATGACGGCGTCAACTAGACTGCTTACCACAGACTGTATGATGACAAGAATCACTGCTACTGGACATTGTTCTGTGACGCTACGAAAACCGTAACCTATGGTTGTTTGTGTTTCAAGTGAGAATAAAAATGCTCCTGTAAAAGTCTCAACATTTGTTACACAGGGCTCCCACACTGTATCATTCGGGTAAAGCTCCGAGTGCCCTAAATCTCCATGAACCGCTGCAATAATTAACCAGATTAGTCCAAAACCAAACCAGCCTAATACATAGGCTAGTGTGAATGTGAGTAAATTGTATCGCCACCTTAAATCCACCAATGTTGTGAACAAGTCTGCGATGAACCAGATTCCACGGTACTTAACGTGCGTGTGCATAACATTACACCAACCATCCTTAGACACCAGCCTCTGCATCTGTTTCCGACGTTTTAACTTTTTGCGTAACTTGTAAGATTTCATTGATTCTTTTCGACTGTGATGGTTTGGTACCTCCGGCTGAGACTCGCTCAGCTGACACTCCACGTCCGAGCTACTTGCCGAGCTGACCATGCTTCCACGCCAACCGCTCATCATACGATCTGCTTCCGGTAATTTACATGTACTGTCAGAGCCATGCATTTTCTCATAAGCTAGTTTGTCAAACATTTAGACTCCTGCCATCTCTTGGTCTGATCACAAATAAAACAGGTTTAAGGATCGCCAGTTATGAGTCTGCTCTCCTGCAAAAATAAAAAAGTAAGTCAGGTACAGTAAATCAGGTGGTACAAACTAAAAAGCACAACCCAAATGCATTCAACTGAGGCTCCTGTTAGATGGAGTTGGTTATATAACCAACATGGACTGTACCATTATTACCACAGGGACATAATTCATCTCAGCCCATTCTGGATAATTTACACAGCAGGTAAAGGAATTACCAGTTCTGTGATTGCAAAACCGGTTTAACCTGTGTATAATAATAATCATGAACCTAAGTGGGAGATATTAGACTCGACTATTATAGCTCTGGGGAATAGAAATCTTGGCTGAATTAAATGTCTATTATTGAACTATATTCGTAGGAATCATTAATATCATCTAATTAAAACAATTATCTCATTAAAATATATAATTCACTTACTCAATATGGTTTGGCTAATGACCGAGGTAATTCTAAATTCCAAATACACTATTAGATTATTGAATTTATATACAGTAATGAACATTTAAAAATAAAATACTAAATTATATGTAATAATTAAGGAGATGATGGAAGCTCAGGAGTTACTTGTTCCTTTTCTTAATAAAATATGTAATGCACTGAAATCATAATTTCATGTTAACAGCATTTGATTTCATGATATAAAGAATATCTTTTATCTTAGAAACTACATTGACACTTCCCTGATAAAGATTTTTTTGTGCAAATTTGTTCTAATCTCTCCTGGGATCCGGCTCATCCTATCCCACCTCAAAGAAAACAGTTACACCATGGAGGATATAATTACAGGGTAAGGAGATGGTTCGCAGTCAGGATCGAACAGACAGAGTGACATACCGACTGTCATAAAATAAACCAAGTTAACTAGTTATCACGATAACGAAAGACATCACACAACCGTAATCTATTATTTTTGCACATGCACAAACTCTAATGTTTGGCTGGTCTGGCCTAGGCCCGTCTAGGCCTACACGTACCTACATAGTACCAACAGGAGGTCATTCAACACAGACTACAGTATCACAGTTAAAGCTCTTTTAAGGTCCAGTATTTCCCCCGATGGATAAAATTTCTATGTAGCCCAGAAATGATACTGTGGCAATTTCAGGAAGTCACAATAGTTTGGACTCAGGGAGGGTTTTACGCAAATAGAATGTCCACCCACCTAAGTCCCACAACTGTTGGGGCTGAGGAAAAAAAATTATGAAAATGGCACTCTCAGATTAAAAGTTGAATACAATTTTGTCTGTTTTCTCCATTTTTTTTATAATTTTGAAAAAATCAGAAAGTTGGGAACTCGTGCTGACTGGGTTCCCCCTTGAATCTGCCACTGTTCAATATAACACTTGACATAGCCTATTATTTTACATCTTGGTACATATTAAATTACATCTTCGTGGTTAGCACAAAGAGAACTAGAGCGTCACTCCATTAAGGAGTGCCTACCCATATGCCTAAAACAGGATTCACGAAGGCAGGCAATTTTTTCTTCATGCTGAGGGTAGGTACTTTCAAGGAAACTTTACAGACGCGCGAATACAGACATCAATCAACATTTGGTTGCTCAACTCAAAAAGGGAATCTATATTTTATATAAAAATATGTCAATTTATAAGGCAATAAACAAGGTGTCTAAGCACCAAATAATAATAATAATGACATTGCAGTCGATTGCAATCATAAAATGGTTGTCACTGGTGCTGGGAACAGTCACAAAAGTAGAGGGGCCAGGCCCCCCAGTAGAAAAAGTGGGTGGGCCAATGGCCCCTTGGCCAGGCCCCCCTAGTAGAAAAAGTGGGTGGGCCAATGGTCCCTTGCCCCACTCCCCCCCCAAGTTAAGTTGATCATTGTTTTTACAGAGCCCTCCTCTTCCCCCTCCTCCTATAATGTGATTCCAATTTCACAAGAATGTTTCCAAAACAAAAGATATACCAACTTTATTGTAATATTATGAAAATATACAGAAGGCTGTACAACTGCACCTTACCATGCTTAAACTTCTTACTTTTAGCTCCAGCTACAGTATTAGTTTGGATCTATTTAATTTAATTGTCAACATTGTGCAATGTAATGACTAATAGCATTTTATAGCCTTCAGCTATGGGCAAATTAGACAATAGCTGAAGACGTTTTCAACAGTGTACAGAGTAAATCTCAACACTTATTGACAAAAGCCTAACTTCAAAGCAGGTAGACAATACCACCTTAAGGGCAGAGACTGCTGGTTGTACTCTACTTACAAAATACATTGATCGTTGTGTTTACCTTGGAATAGGACAAGCTGACATATCTTGACATAACATGGACAATGCAAAAATAGATAACGACTGAAGCCTAACATTACATACAGTATGAATATTCTTTTTAATCCCACCTGCCCTGGTTTCCCCATGCATGATGATATGTAACTCGTCGGTGCTGATGGCGGCATTGCCTGCTATGGTAGTCCCATGTAGCTCTTTAGCTCGGCTCTGCCCGATCATTATTCAGTTTGTTTTGCTAACCTACATGGCATTAAAATCTCATGGGGGTGTTCCATTGAGAACACTTCTTATGGCTTTAATGGCGTCAATACTCTAAGGGGAGGTTGCCTAATTAGAAACCGATTGCCAGACATCAAGTGTGCTGAGATCCATCATACTGTAGGTTTGGTGTCATATTAATTTCTAATGGCTATATAAGTGTGGAATTGTGGAGGAGATATAAAAGATGGGAGGGGAGGATTTATGATAAAATAAATGTATCATAAATTTAGGGTGAAAATTATGGAAAATCAAATTATGGTAGGGTATAAATAAATATAATTCAAAGTTAATCAATGTACTGTATAATTAATGTATTGGCAATTGTAGCCCTGGGCCCCCACCCTAAAGGAGACTTAGCCGGTGATGTAATTTATAAAACGGTTACATGCATGTGAAAGTCCTGGCCACCCCCGGCAATGCAGGGCATCGTTTTAACGTACATCCCTGGCTAAGTCTCCACCACTTACCGTCGTACACTACACACCCCAAACCACGGCTAGTCTAATGTGTAAAATTCCCGGGCCTTCCGAGGCCTGTTACATCTACGGGTAAATTATAGGTACGTTCCGGCACTATGGGGACACAACTATGTGTACATCCCTGGAATAAGTCCCGACTAGTGCCCTGCTATGGCCCGGATCCGGGGATTGGGGGGGGGGCAGGACTACAATTGACAAGTGCATAACGTACATCCCACAAAAGAATCTGTACTTGAAATTACCTTAATGTAAGTTGATTATTAATTGCAGGTGCGTATTTTAACAGAATTTTGATGGTGTAAAAACAACATCGATAGCATAAGGTCCATCATAATTATACATACAATATTTCACAAAATATTAACTACAGTAATAGTAATAACCACACCGGTTTAATTCTGTATTTTACAAGGAAACATATCCTAGAAAATGAGGAAAACAATTATTTTAAAATATTTAATGGCTATTTAATTATATTGCTTGCTAAATAATCGCATACTGTAATTCTCCAGATACTGTAAACCACTATATGGTGAGCGCACTAGTGTAAAGGTGAACCGATAATTTAACAATAATAGGAAACATTTGTTTATATTAACAGCAAGTGAAATTTGACAATACAGTAATAATAAAACAATTATATAATTGGAACACATTCACATCCATTAAATTGCACTCATCCAAAAGTGTCAGTTGGAATACAAGTTGACCAAAACAAACCAAAGCAAAGACTAGTCTTTTTGGTCAATAAAGTGTTATTACATTCCTTAAGGTACTTAATTACTATCGGTCGCATCTTTATTGCTGACACATAAATAGATTCTGCTGACGTCAAATGACGTACGCTTCAAATCTAGATCATTTTGGTATGTTTTACAAAAAAAAGGGGGGAGGTGAAATTAGAGAGGGAAACAAATAAGGTGAACAAATAAAGTTTGAAATATTTTATGCTTGAGGACAAATAAATGTAATATTGCCTATAATAAACAATATATGTACTTTGTTGCTCTCTCGCTTAAATAGCATGGTTTTGTTGTTACACATTTGAACACAAATAAATGGTGGCGCACCACACCCTGGCTTTCTATTTTAAGTAACCTTCTCGATATCAATTTTGATAAGCGTCGGTAAATATTCAAAAATCTTTTTTTTTTTACTAGTTTTTCGATGAGATTAGATAAAGCTCCTGTAGCTGCATCAACATTAAATATGTTGTTCTTTTAAAAAGCACTGTCATTGTTGTCGGATAAGATCGAAGAACATGGATTGTTAACCTATTTTCAGTTGTAAAAATACTACAGTACTAGCCTAAAGAATTATTTCCAAGCATTCAGTGTCAGCTCCAGGATACATTTTCTGTATAAGAGACAGGGGCTAAGCTGTCCAACGGGGACTTGGCCTCGTAGGCCCGAGCTGGGGGAGGGGTGAGAGGGTGTTCACCCACCAAAATGAGAATTTTTTTTAAGAATAGCAACCTCTTGATGCCGGAAATGGCACTCCGAGTCTGTGACAGACATGTGTTGGCTAGGTGTAGGCCTATTTTTATGGTCTGACTGCCCGACGAGCTGTGTCCGACGTGGGGGAGCCTTAACAGGTGAAGTTTACAGCATTGCATTACAGCAGAAAAAATGGATTGACTATATACACAGGGAGACAATCCCTCTTTTCAGAAGAGTGCACTACATTCTTTAACGTACACATGAGCCATAATGCACAAGGGACCAACGGCTTAAACGCCTTGTCTGAAAGACTGTACGCTATCTTAACTTGCACTTGAGCCTTTCAGCTGAAACACAAGGAGAGAAGCGATGGGAATTGAACCGGAGATCTAGAGATTTCCACGGTTCAGCACACAGAGTGACAAAAGTCAGCTTAGCCAACTGAGCTACTGTAACAGCGTAAGCTGCCTCATGGAGGCATTTTTTAATTTTAAATGTTGATGGTAACAAGTTTCACAAATTCCATAGTTTTGTTTGCTATCTAATTAGGCCATAAAAAATTGTTGTGTTGCCCTT